ATATAAACTGAGCTATTTTGATCATTTGTGTTGATTATTTTATGGTTTTGATAAACCATGCATCTTGTAGATGTCTCTTGCTCTCTCTAGATAATGCTTGAGATATGGACTTAGTTAAGATATTAAAAGCTGTTTTCTTTGTTCTATGATGGACAGAGATATATTTAGTTAGTTTCCATGTTACTTATAAAGTCAATTATTTTATTTTCTATGTCAACCATAAGGAATTCCATAAAGTTAGAAATATTCTACCATCTTATCTTATTGGATCATTCACCTAGTCTTATAAGCACCGAAAAATTGAAACATCATCATGTGAACCTTACTCTTTGGGGAAGTTAAGGGACTCTTTTCTTGAAGTATCGATTTGTTTTGTTCCCTAAATACAGGTGTAATTGCAATCTTATCGGCCTTGGCAAAAATGAATTCACATCTCTACTCAAAATCTCCCGGGTACTAGACTAATGTAGTTTCATCTTCCAAATTTTTCTCTTTTATTTTCTCTACTTTCTTGTTGATCAAACAGAACGGTACGATATTTTTTGTAGTCTATGTGTGAAGATTAAAGAATGATGGCAATTTACGTTGGTTTTCATATTTTCAATTTTGTATATTTCTGTATAAAAAGAATTTTGAGAAACTCTGAAGATTTAAAAAAAAAATTCTGGTGTAAAACGTAGAATTTTTTTATTCTAATGGTGTGTTGTTGTATCTATAATAGTAAATTTTTTCTTTCATGCAAATTGTGTTGGCATGCCGAGCCTAACCAAGCAAAGTTACCTTCTTTATTACTTGTGTTTCTTTTTCCTTATTCCTTCCCAGAGGTAAAGGATTTTTTGTATCACCAAGAAAAAAAATGAAAATTTTCTTTTATTATGTTCAACATAATTATTATGTCAGTAAGTTGTAGTGATCATTAAATAAGAAACATAGTGAAACATTTATGAAACTTAGCTTGTGACTTCGTGTTAAACAATTGTAGTGTTGCGTGATTTTTTTTCTGGTTGATTCGATACATCATTCTTTTCTCTACTAATATCTATTATTTCCCAATCAAAACAAATAATATCTCATATTTTACTGTTGGGATTGACGTCGGTGAGGGGATGAGGATGTTTCTGCATATTTGATAAACTTGACATAAAGAAGGATGGCAATTCCCAGGGGGTTCCTAGGCCCAAGCACGCTTAACTTTCTGATGGGATCCGGTGCATTAGTGCTGGTATGATCGGCGGACATAAAGAAGGATGGCAATATTTGTGCATTATTGATCTTTTGATAGGATGTAGTTGGATTTGTTAGTCAAACTTTTGACCCTTCCTTATCAATCAAAGTGTATAATTTAGGAAAAAATATGAATTTATTTTGATTATTTTGTATTTCATATTTTACCCCTTTAAAATAATTCACGTGCGGTGCACAAACTAGTATTATCCAAAAGCAAATAAACAAATTATGTGCAAATTATATTTTGGACCACTCAATTATACCCCTTTCTTAATATTATCCCTTGAATTATCATAATTTTATATTATACCCCCTCAATTATGATTAATATTTTTATCACTTTTTTAATACCATAACAATGATAAAAATATTCATAAATATAATAAAAATACTCACAAATATAATAAAAATCAAAACGATACCAAAATTTATTTTTTTAATACTGTAGACAACTCCCTATTTTTTGTTTTGGGTCACCTAGACAACTCCCTATTTCATTTCCTTGTGAATTTATCGGACAATTCTGTTTTTTGGACATTTTAATAATAATGTCAAACAAATGAATAAGTCATCAGCTTTTAATTGTCAATTTTATACTCTCAACTCAAGTCTCGAGCAAAGCTGACAGCTAACCCCCACATTCCATATTTGTAACCTGGCAGTCAAGAGTGGCATGCGGACTTTGGTTTTTACATTGAAGTAGATGTCGGACTTGGTAAGTCCGCTTTACGCCATAAAGTCGCACTTACAAATTCTATTTTTAAATGAAATTGGATTTTGCACTTCCGCTTTTAAAACAAATATAGTTTAATAAATATGTTTAAAACGACTGTAAATTAATATTTAAGTTTAAATTTTGCCGTGCTTTGATAATAGATTTGATTATAACGGAATTCCATCTTTGTGAAGAGGGATTTAGGTTTTGAAAGATGTGGAGAAATCAATCTAAACCCTCGTCTAAAATTCATTCAAACAAATCCTTAAGGTAATACCACTGCTGCATGAAAAAAAAAAAATCTTTGGATCACACTTGCTTGTTACATGTGACAATTACTTGGATCGCAAACTTGGAATATTATATTTGGTCAGCATTATAAACTTGTTGAATTATATTTGGTTGGCGTAAACTTAGATATTCTTTAATAAAAAAAATTAAATAAAATAGAATGATTGTTTTTTTATTTGGTCTTTGTGATATGACTTGTTTTATAGATTGGGTTCAAAGGTCTTCCCTTGTGTGTCAAACCTTAGTGCTCGATTATGCCTGGTATGTCCTTTTTTTCCCCTTTTCTCAATCTTTTTTTTTTTTCCCATTTAGCCATTTAAATGAATAATTTTAATTAAGTATCCATTAAGATATAAGTAGATCATATTCATTTAATTCCTCTACCAACCTCAACCACACTTCATCTTTGTAAAGCTAAAAACCTGATCCTATTTGGAATTCAGAAGTACATCAAGCTGGAGATATCCCACCATCCATCATCAGTAGGAAATTAAAGGAATAGTTTTTAGAGGGGTTGAGTTTCTAAAATTCGAAATCTTAACCCTATCCTTTCCTTGTTATACTTGGGCTCTTAACCCGTGAATTTATTTGCTTTAAAGCCCACCCTCCTAAACTTAGACAAAATCCCCCCCTGAAATAATTCAGAAAATCAAGTTTATGGTTATCAATAGTGGGTATGATTAATATTTAACTAAACTTTTATAATTGGTGCCTGAAATTGGCCACAACTCCCTACTATATGTACGAAATTTGCGCTATGTTCGGGTAAACGGTATTTGACACTCCAAAATACTTGACTCGCACTCTTAATGGTGCCGAAAAATTATCTTTTTTTTTTGTTCAACGGTCAGAAGTGTTCAGGATTATCTTTTAAGGGTGTCTATAGTATTTTTTAAGGTGAAAAACGAAAGTCAATACACAAATATAAACTTATTTGAGTAAAATGCTACTAATGGAAACTTATAGGGCATAAATAAGTGCATGTTAATGAAAAAAAACTAAAAACTCATTCTGCATGAGTCACTCTTGCAACAACCAGTTTTTGAAAACAATTATATTACAATCTCTCCGTATTTTCTCTCCCCCTCTCTCTTGGTTACTCTCTCACTCTTTGCCCCTATTTTGTCTCACATTTATTCTCTCTCCTCATTTTCTTTCTCTCTTCCATTGATAATTTTTTTTTTTCAAATATATAAAAATTTGAGTTGATTATTTTTGTTTGAAATTATAAATTTTTTGATTTTTTTTGTGACACACCTATTGGTGTATATGTTTGATGTATCTCTTTGGAGTATCACTTTCTTGTATCAAATTTGTGCATCAATCAAAGGTATCATTTAGTGTTTCTGTTTGGGGTAATGTTATATTTACCAAGTTTTTTACTAAATTTCTGTCACAATTTATGTGGCATAAATTTCATCATTGAATATTAATGGAACTCACTTATTTAATGATAAAAATTATGCAGCATCACTTAGGATGGAAACCATGGTAAGAAATCTTAATCAATATAGTAGTGTTGATCTATTTGATGTATCTCTTTCATATATCACTTTCTTGTATCAATTTTGTGTAGCAATTAAGGGTATCATTTTAGTGTTACTTTTTTAGATTTCACTGTGTATCTCTTTGGTACATCTATTAAATGTATCTCTCTTAATCACTGTGTGCAATGAATAATTAGTACAACTTGTACCTGTTAGGTTTATCTATTTGAAGCAAGCAATGTTTGGAATCGAATCAGAAAATCACGTTTAGAGTCATATCGTGATACCCTCAACTGGTTTGATACAGAGTCAGAAAGTTCACAACTGGAGACTATAAGAAATAGCAACATCTGAAGGCAATGGTTAAAAAATATATTGTGAATTAATTTAAGAATAAATTTTCAAAATTCAAATGAATGAAAAAATCAAATCAAATCTTTACATATTTAAAAAGAAAATAAATTATTAATGTGTGTGTGTGAGAGAGAGAGAGAGAAAGAGAGAGAGAAAATAAGGGGAAAAAGAGTAATGGTGAGTGATAATAGGGGAGAAAGAGTGAAAGAAAGAATAACAATGAGAACAAATAGGAGAGAGATAGAAAAAGAAAAAGAATAAATGTTCAAAATTTAAATGAATGATAAAATTAAATCAAATTTTTACATATTTAAAAGAAATAAATTGTCAATCAAGTATAAATTATTTAAGAAAGGGTAATTAAGTAATACAGAAAAAAAAAGTAAACTGAATTGTATACCTAATAACAAGAAATTTATGTGTAAATGAACTTAATAGAGTAAAAATCTTATTATTAAAGTCTTAGAAAATATATCCACACCCAATTTTTCCTTTTTAAAAGTGCCAAAATAGGGGCCAACAATAAGCGGGTTAAATGGCCCATTGAGTTGGACTAGCCCGCCCACAAATCTCAACCCATGACCTATCGATTGAGCATAAGACTGTCAATTTTCGACACGATATGCTAACTCGACACGAACCGAATACGAAATTAATGAGTCAAACGCGAAATTAAATGAGTCAATGGATAAAAACGGGTCAACACATATAAACACGAAAAAAAATAAGTCAGGTTCATGTCGAAATCAAGTCAACCTGATTTTGATCTGATTAACCCGTATATTTTAAACAGGTTGATATAATTTGATCCGAACCCAACCTACCCATTTATTACCCGTTTAACCCATTTTTCCAAATATATAAAAGCAACAAAAAAAAATATAATCCTAACACACTTCCACTTTTCCATTTTTTCACTTTCACTCTCACTCACCCGCCGCTGATCGCCTAGTCTCGAGGAGGAGAGGAGGGCTCACTGCTCCACCATTGTCGTTCTCGTCGTTCAAGCCTTCATCATTGCTCAACTGAAAAGGTTTGCCCCTCTTTCTCTGTGTGTGTTCTCTCTCTGTGTCATCGACGCTGTGTGTTCTCTCTCTATGCACGCTGTGACTCAATTGAAGTGTAAAACAATTAGAAAATGGGTCATTTATGTTGTTATTTTCTCCATCAGCACCGTCTCTCTTGAGTACAATTTCGGCATTTGAGCAGTTCAAGTCATTTGTTTTTACCAGCCTTTGTTCCGCCTGAGAGATCACCATGGCTCTTGGAACTTTTAGATGCATGATTTGGATAGAACTTGGCATACTAAAACCATTCAGGAGAGTACTTTTGGGGAAGCACTGTCCTAGACCATCCAATGCATATCCAAAGCCTGCATATTTGCAATCGCTCAGGCAGGCATTCCTCATTTTCTACACATAGCAAGAACATCCTCACACACACACTTTGTTTTCCCTTCTCTGTCTCTCTAGTTATTATTGGTGGCATAAATCTAGATCTTTGTTGCTCTTGGCCTGTGGATATTTTAAACAGACTCGAATTCTTATTGCTATTAGTGCATTGGTAGTTGCTTTAAACAAATTTATTTTTTTGGATGGGTATTTTACTCGCCAATGTTCTTTATAGAATCGCCAAATTTTTGCAATATGTAGATTTGTTCCCTTTCTACTTATTTCTGCAGTATGTAAATTTCTGCAATCACTTATTTTTCTATACTTAACTTTACAAGTTGTATTGGAAGTTTCTGTATTTTTTTTGTTTTGTGACCAAAAATGTACTGCTTTGTATGTGTCTAATATATTTTGCTGACATATTTGAAGCGAGAGAGTGTGTGTAGTCAACAACATCATAACATGAATTGGATCAAAGCTAAACTTACGGTTGCTTCAGAGTCTGTATTTAGCACCAGTGGTAGGGTTCTTCGTAGTTCTATGAAGCCGGAAGTTGTTGAGGCTTTGATATGTACAAAAGATTAGTTGTTTGGAGAAAGAGGTAAATATAAGTTATGTGATTGCTTTAGAATTCATGTTTTAAATAATGAAATCTTAATTCTTATGTTGTATATATTTGTTTCGTTTAAATCCCACACAAAATGATTTGGAGGACATTATAGAAAATATGATTAATATCAATGTTGACCAAGATGGTTGTACTATGATTGATGATGATCATTGATTGAAGGTACATTGTTATTTTTAGTGTTTAATTTGTTAGTTTGTGTTTGCTTTGTTTTGCTTTTCTGATTGAAGTATTTCTTCTTTTGATTAGGATCCGTGAAGTGTCAAAGTTTTGTGTGCACCGTGCCTTGCTAGAGGAGCAACAACTTCTTATTTTGTTTTAGTTTCATTTAGCATGTCAATAGCAAGTCATTTTTCAGAATATGATCTCAAAAATAACTTGTTATTGCTTTTGCTTATTTTCTACTTCTTTTGTTTTATTATGCCAATATATTTTGTATATTATATGAATGACTGATGTGGACCTTGTGATCTTAACACAATGGAAGTATATTATTATAGTTCTTGTTTTAATTTTTGAAAACTTGATTGCATTTTAGTTGAATAGGTTGAATAAGTGCAGGATCAGATTTGTGGTATTTGAGATGCAGTAGGATCAGAGATGCAGTCTAACTGAAGGTTTTTCAGCTATTTAAATTTTAATGCATGATTTTACATGTAAATTTCTAAAAGTAGAAACAAGAAAGCATGATATTTTGAAAGCAGAAACAAGAAAGTTTGGTTTTCCAACTATTTGAGAATCTAGCAGTCCAGCTAAAGCAGCTAAATAGAGTCTAGTTGAAGCAGAGCAGCTCAAAAAATAGGCAGTGCAGTTGAATTGTCATTTCGTTCAGCGCTTGGAGAGGACAACATCACAACGTGCATACAAGGTTTCTCTTTAAACCAAGGGGGTCTATCATGTTTGTTGCCCCTGAATGATGTGTGTGGGAAAAGAAAGGAGCTGAGAGGGGGGATGTGGATAGACTCATGTGTTCAGAATGGTCTTGTTTAGTTGTCCTAGCTATTGACACACTAGTCTTAATGCACAGGGCTCAATTTCTTTTGAATTATTCGACATTATTGATTTCATTTCTTCTCTTTTGCGAAGGAAACTTAGTCAAACAAGTGTCCTAGGGAACTTCTACTTCAAACAATAACACTTGAGTTTGTTGTTTGACAATGAGCATGTCACCACAAAGCCTGCTTGAAGTTCCACCTAAAGAAAGAGTGAGAGGAGAACTCTGATATGTGGGTTAATTGTGCAGGCATTGAAAGCTTGTAGTAACTTGTGGCCTGCTTGTAGCTGCCTGCTGGCCTTGCTGGAGCAGATCTGAAGCTGGGATGATTGTATAGGCATTGAAAGTGGCTATTTTGAGTGTCCATAGAAGAAATTTTTGTTTTTTTTTTCATGTTTTGAAGGATTAAAACTATTTAATTGAAAACGGATGTTAGGAATTGGTTTTCTTTTGCTTCTTGTAATTTTTTGAATTTTATTCAATAAAATCTTTTGATTTTTTTTTAAAGGTGTTAAATAGATAAAATTTGATATGTGGGTTAAACAGGTTAACATGTCATGTAATGTGTTAACTTGAAAATGACCTGTTTATTATACGTGTCAAACATGTCAGGTTCAGATAACACGTTTAATAGACAGGTCAGGTTAGTATTTACACATCTCGACACGATTATTAAACATGTTAGGTTAGTGTTTAGGAATTTTTGATAAAAACACGAAACAAATCCGACACAAAATGACTCAACCCAGCACGTTTGACACCCTAATTGAGCTAATTCTAATGGGTATATTACACATTTTAGGGTTTTTTTATGTTTTTATTTTATAAAGCTAAGTGAACGAACTACCCACTTACTCGATGGCCAGATCCAGGTGCATCGTAATCCAGCTTAATGGCCCAAAAAAATAGTAGGCCGATGACGTTAGTCCTCGAGACTGGCTACAGACTAGGCCAAACCATAGTCTTGTTGAGTAGTGGGATAACGGGCCAGTACGTAGACACCGACCATTACGAAAGTCCACTTTAGTCACTGCAAACCGAGGGATAGGAGTACGATATCAAAATTTTTTTGTGTTGTGTTAAAAATTATTTTTTTTAAATATTATTTTAAATTTTTTAAATATGAAATTATAATTAATTAAAACTATCAATATAAAATATATTTATATTTTTCAAAAAAATTATTTCAATAATTTGTAATGATTAATAAAAATATTTAAATTATAAAAATCAAAATAAAAAATTTACACTATTATATTTTTATTAGATCAAAAACAGAAATATGATATTAAAAAATTATTTTTCAATATTATTATAATTCAACCCAGTACATTTGGATTCGAACAGAGATGTCTGAGATGGGTCTTGAGCGGTAGGGTCAACCCCGATTTGCAACACCATGATTACTAACTTTTCGTATTGCTTTTTATGCCCAATTTCCAATGAAAATAACCTTTTGGGATCATTTCTTTTTCTTTAGAGATATCTATTCAGTATTTAAATCTAGTCCAAGTTTAACCTTTGGTAACTGTCAATACCATGTAGCTGTCCATTTTGTTGGGACTAAAAAGATTAGTGTGTTTTGGAGTTTGATTTGCTGTTTATTTGTATCAATTTAAGCACATTATGTCCCTATCAAATAACATGAGTTATCTGAGTCCCCTAACACATACATACACAGAAAACTACAGGTGGATTAGTTTAGTGACACCATCTAATCTTTAGACTAACTTATAAAATTTGGACGTGTATTGACACTACAAAAGGATATATGACAAAGTTACAGAAGCTCTATGAGCTAATGTGGCAGGACAGACGATCTTTGTCCGAAAGGTAAGAGTAGCACCACAAGTGTCTAGGAGCAAAACCTAGCTAGTGTATCTCCCCACTGCAAAAGTAAATGCATACAATTGGAATCTTTCAAGTAGCTAGGAGTGTAGTCCTAGCAAATCCTCGAGGTATACTTTTGGAATAAGACCCGCAAAGAAAACCTGAAACTCATTGAATGCCCATAGTGATAAAATCAATATATTATTGTTCGACTAACCCAAGTAATCAAGTGGAAAGGTTCACACATTGGGATAAAGAAGCAAGACCCTCCTTGAGGGAGAATTAAATAAAAAGAGTGCATGAGCATGATTGTCAATCTCAGATATAATTTCAAATAAATAGACTTCTAACAAATTGTCTAGTATATGACTCGCTATCCACTAAGTTGCACTTAGACTGAGATGTGAAGAAACTCATAAGGTAATAGAGGTTAATAGTTTAGATGAACATATAGGATGATTGACATATGCATGGGTGGCTAAAGAGGGTATCTAATATGACACTCTCTGGATAGACTCCTCGGTGTAGAAAAAATTACAAGTATTTTATTTTGGTCTTACTATTGAAAACCAAGGTCAAAAATTGCTCTGGCAGCATCAAAACCAGCTCTGGCATGATCTCCACGACAGTGTTAGGAAAGGTTAACACAGAAGTGAAAGCTGACAATGACCAAAAACAAAAGATAAGGTTTAGAACCAAGGCTCAAAAAGTTGAAAATAATAGTGCAAAAAGGTTAGTGAGGAAAAGAGAAGTGGGGAGGTTGGGAACTGTTAGCTTTTTGACAAAGGAACTTTTTGTTGGAATTATTGTGTATGGCTGGCGCTTTATGTCCCTGTCTTTAACCTAATGCTAAATTTTTTATTTTTGAACTAGAATAGATTCTTTACCGGTAGTTTATAAATAATCAATTATAACTTAAAAATTATATAAATTTATTGAAAATTCTTAATATTGATTTGTGTATTATATAATTACTGTATTTTAATTTGCTGCTTATAAACAATTATTTACAAGTTTGCCCGTAAAAAAATTATTTTCTTCTTAAATATAATCCTTGTATTTCAATCGCTTGTTTTTCTCTCTCATGGCCTCCACTATTTATATTCTTTCTTTAATAATCTACTTTGTTACAATTAGACTATGAGAGTGATTGTTGCACATGGCGAGGCATGTGAAAAGATTTGATTATGGTATTAAAAAAAAATATTGATATAATATTTTTAAATTTATTTATGTGTATCTCGATTAATCTCTTCTCCAGTTCGATCAATTGTAAATCAATTTCATTGGTATTAAGATGTTTATTAGAGGATAAATTCTTTATGACCAAACTTTAAAAAATTCTAAAAATTTAAACTAAAAATATTTAAATATATGTGATACCCAATTTTCTCTATTGTAGGTGGAGGCATTTCTTTTAGTTATCGATACATAAAAATACTTGTAAATTGGTTGGGTGCGTGAGCTGTCTCGCAGGACTCTTTGTCCGAGGCAAGGTACTTGGCCAATCGCTCCAGCCATGAGGATATGGCTGCTTAAAAGAGTTCAGCAGGGTAAAGTCAAATC